TGCTTAAGTGTAACCTGCTGCTAAAGTGTAACCTGCTGCTATAGTGTAACCTGCTGCTATAGTGTAACCTGCTGCTATAGTGTAACCTGCTGCTATAGTGTAACCTGCTGCTATAGTGTAACCTGCTGCTATAGTATAACCTGCTGCTATAGTGTAACCTGCTGCTATAGTGTAACCTGCTGCCAAGGGCTGCGCCACAGGGGGGGGCAGGGGTGCAGCTGCCCCCTATCATTTTGAAAAAGGTAAGAGGAGGGGAAGGAGAAAGAGGAAAAGGAAAAGGAAAAGAAAAGGAAAAGAAGGAGAAAAAAAGGAAAAGAAGGAGAACTATGGAATAGGTGAAAGGGTCTTTCTTCGTGTGAGACAGAAAGGTAGCGTGAAGAGAGGAGGGAAACCTTTGGGGAGACCGCTTTTGTATGTCACAGAGGTAGTTGACGTTAATCGGCAGAACTTTAAGTATACAGTAAGTGTCCTGCCAGAGTCACAAATAAAGTATCAAAATATGCTCATCTGACAGTAATTCAATGCCTATACCCACTAAGATTCTGAGGGCTCCACCCCTTGACCCCCTCCGAGAAATGTTCAGCGGGGCCTGCATATAAGAGTGGGTGATGAGGATTTTTTCGTCAACCCCCCCCCCCAAAAAAAAAAAAAAAAAAAAAACGTTTTTGCCATTGCCGGTGTCACCATTACGTACCAATATTTGGCTCGCATAATTTCAAATTTGCCCCCCCCCCCAACCCCACCTCCCCGAAAAAAACCTGGATCCGCGCCTGGCCTTATCAGTATTTATACTGATCTCCCTGAGGGCCCTGCAATCATATAATTTTGCTATTTTCAATATATTTTTTCAAGCGCACACTTGCTAATCTAAGCACATTAGCTTTCGCATCTTACCGGGTACCCATTAATTAACTACTGGGTGGAGAGTGGCAAATGTAGATCAATGTTTTGCCATGAAATTTGTGGGGCTCCCAAAACTTTAGAGGGGCCTTAAACACCTGACATTTTCACAGACATTATTCTTTTACCGTGAAACAATCATGTGGCCATGTGGTTGGTTGGAACCAAAGATGTTTGAATTTATACTACGTTTAAAACGGTCAGCGTATCAAATTGAGCTTTCCCTTATGTTTCTGAATGTATGTAATGAACGCACTATAAACACAGCCCCTCTAAAGTGTTGGGAGCCCAAAATTGTCTTAATATTTCATAGTAAAATTTCAGTTAGATTATATGAAGAGGTGAAAGCAGGCGCGGATCCAGGATTTCTTAGGGGGGGAGGCCCAAATTTGAAATTATGCGAGCCAAATATTGGTACGTAATAGTGACCAGCAGTGACGTAATGCGGGGGGGGGGGTGGGTGCAGGGAGGGGCGAGTTTCCCCCTCCCTCTTGACGTTTCATTGCATTATTAGAGAAAGAAGACGTTTCGTTGTACCGTTTTCGAAAATAATCCTCGTCTAAATTCAGTTTTTCCCCGCTGGCGCGAAGCGCGGAAGCTTTTACGATTCACTAAACCATTAGAGAAAAAAGACGATTCGTCGTACAGTTCTCGACTTTAAATCGTCGTCTGAATTCAGTTCCTCCCCCCCCTCCCCTCCTGCGCGAGGCGGGAAAGCTTTTAAGTTTCATTAAATCATTAGAGAAAGAAGCCGATTCGTTGTACCGTTCTCGAAAATAATTATCGTCTGAATTTAGTCCCCCCCCCCTCCCGCGCGAAGCGCGGAAGTTCTTACGTTTCATTAAATCATTAGAGAAACAAGACGATTCGTTGTAGAGTTTGTACGTGTTTTTTTGTTAACGTTTCATTAAATCATTAGAGAAACAAGACGTTTCATTAAATCATTTGAGAAGCAAGACGATTCGTTGTAGAGTTCGCGACTCTTAATCCTCGTCTGAATTCAGCCTCCCCCCTCCCGCGCGAAGCGCGGAAGCTTTTAAGTTTCATTAAAATCATTAGAGAAAGAAGACGAGTCGTATTACCTTTCTCGAATCTGAATTCAGTTTTTCCCCTACCGCGCGAAGCGCGGAATTTTCGATGTTTCATAAGATTATGAGAGAAAGAAGACGATTCGCTGTGCCGTTCTCGACTCTTGATCCTTGTCTGAATTCAGTCCCCCCCCCTCCTGCGCGAAACGCGGAAGCTTTTCGTTTCAGTAAATCATTAGAGAAACAAGACGATTCGTTGTAGAGTTCGCGAGTCTTAATCCTCGTCTGAATTCAGCCTCCCCCCTCCCGCGGGTAGCGCGGAAGCTTTTAAGTTTAATTAAATCATTAGAGAAAGAAGACTATTCGTTCTACCGTTCTCGACTCTTAATCCTTGTCTGAATTCAGTTCCCCCCCTCCCCTCCTGCGCGAAGCGCGGAAGCTTTGACGTTTCATTAAATCATTAGAGAAAGAAGACGATTCGTTCTACCGTTCTCGACTCTTAATCCTTGTCTGAATTCAGTTCCCCCTCCCCTCCTGCGCGAAGCGCGGAAGCTTTGACGTTTCATTAAATCATTAGAAAAAGAAGACGATTCGTTGTACCGTTCTCGACTCTTAATCATTGTCTAAATTCGTTCCTCCCCCCCTCCCGCGCGAAGCGCAGGAGCTTTTAAGTTTCATTAAAATCATTAGAGGAAGAAGACAATTCGTTGTACCGTTCTCGAAAATAATTCTCGTCTGAATTTAGTTTCCCCCCCCTCCCGCGCGAAGCGCGGAAGCTTTTAAGTTTCATTAAAATCATTAGAGAAAGAAGACGATTCATTGTACCGTTCTCGAAAATAATTCTCGTCTGAATTTAGTTCCCCCCCTCACGCGCAAAGCGCGGAAGCTTTTACGTTTCTTTAAATCATTAGAGAAAGAAGACGATTCGTATTACCTTTCTCGAATCTGAATCCTAGTCTAAATTTAGTTTTTTCCCTCCTACGCGAAGCGCGGAATTTTGGCGTTTCATAAGATTATGAAAGAAAGAAGACGATTCGCTGTGCCGTTCTCGACTCTTAATCCTTTTCTGAATTCAGTTCCCCCTTCCCCTCCTGCGCGAAGCGCGGAAGCTTTGATGTTTCATTAAATCATTAGAGAAAGAAGACGATGCGTTGTACCGTTCTCTACTCTTAATCCTTGTCTGAATTTCAAAGATCTGCTCCTTTTTATTCCTACGTCCTCTTACTTTTCTCTCCTCTCTTTTTTATTTTGCCGCCGATTTTCGGGGACCGCCCCCACAGCCCCCCCCCCCTGGCTACGCGCCTGCGGTCAGATAAATTCCTTTTTGATAAATTGTCCGACGCCTGAAGCTCAGGGGTTAAAGGCAATAAATTACGGTCAGAGAAGCATTCAGGGGTCCGCCTTAGGGCCTCTGGCGGGGTCGAGGCGGTGGAGCCCCCGGTGGCTCAGGGGTTTTAGGCGTTTAATTACGGTCAGATGAGCTTTTCTTTTATACCTTATTATTTTGTGACACTGGCAAGACACTATTTGGCGTGGAGTCCAGGGGGCGAAGCCCCCAAAAGTCAGGGGTTTTAGACAATAAATTACCGTCAGATGAGCATCTAAGGGCCCGCCTAAGGGCCCTAGGTGGAATCCAGGGGCCAGCAGAGCCCCCGGAAGCTTGGGGGCTTTAGGCATTTAATCACGATCAGATGAGCAGATTTTGATGCCTCATATTTTTTGACACTAGCAGTTAACTATTTTGTCTTTCTTGCTCTCTTTCTTTTTATTTTTCTTTAATATACCTTTTCAAAAAATGTGGGAGGGGGGGGGGGGGGCTCGAGGCTCCCGATCCCCGCCGTTCCCCGAGCCCTGACACGTAAGAATCTCAAGAATCATATTTCTTGCCTGGCTGTAAATTTAGGAATTTGTCACATAAAAATTTATGGAATTATTATGGAATTAGAAATAAACCACGTTTGAATTTGATTTCACCCAAGCCCCCTTCCCCCTATCAGTTCGCCAGTATCTCCCCTTTTCCTTTTTTCTTTACTTTCCTTCCTTTTCTCTTATTTTTTTGATTGGGGGGGGGGGGGGCAACAGCCTGGGAGGCAAAGCCCTTTCGGCCCCCCCCCCCGATCTCCTTCTTCCCCCTTTTCTTTTCTTCTTCCTCTTCTCTCTTTTCCTTTCTCTCCTCTTTCCCTTTCCCTTCTTTTCCTTTCTTCTCTCTCTTTTTTTTTTGCGGGGGGGGGGGGGGCAAGGCCCGCTCGGCCCCCCCTGGATCCGCGCCTGGGTGAAAGAGGATGTCCTTCTGCAATGATTTATACAACAAATATGTTTGAAGACGAATTTGACGAAGGAGTGCCTAATAATTTATTTAGGTTTGTGTTGTACGCAGAAAACCCTAATGTTGTACGTTCATCACTATATTCGTCTTTATAAACATGTTTTGAAAATCCATGCAGAAGTGTGTCTTAAGTGTGTCCATCAGCCTGGTGTCCATCAAATTGTCGGGCCTTCCAACAATGTAGAAAGGCTCTATAAAGCTCGGCTATAGCAAAACAGCAATTAATAGAAAGAAAAAGGAAGAAGGAGATGAGAGAGACAGAGATAAAAACAGAAAGGGCGGGGGAAGATATAGAGAAAGAGAGAGAAGGATAACGAGAGAGAGAGAGAGAGAATGAGATGAGAAAGAGGGAGAGAGAGAGAGAGAAGGGGGGGGTTATAGAAGTGAGATATATTAAGAAAGAGAGGAAGAGAGAGAAAGAGAAAGAAAGCAGAAATAAAGGAAATAGAATATAACTAAATAAATTAAAAAATCGAGACAAAATATGAGATTTGTCGCATATTTTCATCACGAATTTCACTTCAAAGTTTGTGATTCGCGATGTCCCTTCAGAGCCACTATTATGGTTCGCTTGTGTTTCCCAACAAATTACGGTTAGCGTGTGCTCCTCAACGGTTCCACAGCGTATCAGTGTGTATATAGCGTATCCGCTGAAGTGAACCTTTTTTCAGTTTCTTAGGCGTTAGGTTACACTATAGCGTGAGGTTACACTTTAGCAGCTTCACATCCGTCATACCAGGATATACAGCAATGGATATTACTACAAGTACAAGCACAATCTTTTTTGATATGTGTACATAGAAGGGAATTGATAATATTAAATATTGGACTTCACTATTCACCCTCTGTGTTTCTGTGATATTGACAATGTCTGGGGATTCAATACTTGGATGGTTAAGGATGTTCCTGTCACTTACTCTGATATGGATTCTTGCGTCTATTACAGGTTTGTATTTAACTTACTGGATTTTTCTACTTTTCAATTCCAAAAGCATGGAATCGCCTATGGAATTCAAAAGTATCAACACTTGTTTATTGTTTACCACCAGTCATTTTTTGTTGTGAACAATATGCTATCAATATTAACCCTATTTTAACTGGGCTATTTCAGACCGGGTTTTTACTGGAGGGGGAAAGGGGGGGGGGTCAATTTGACCTCCCTAAGATCTCGGCCGTTTCACAGCCGATCGCCGCGAAAATTTGCATGCATGTCAAGTGAAGTGTATAGAATACTATGGTAATTTCAATTTTTTGAAAAATTCACTCATTTGCCTATGTATGGTAATTCATGCAAATAAGGTCATAAAATTCACATTTTTACCCATGAATCATATATTATTCATATTTAAGCATTTGTTTCCACTACATATATTTGTTAGACCATTTGGAATAATAATACAACACAAACAAATTGAAAGAGCCAGGTTATTCCTGATGTTATCTCTTGTTTTGATAATTTCTTATGTATTTCATTGTTTTGATAATTTCTTATGTATTTCATTGTTTTTTAAGTTATGTATTTTATTGTTTATGTTGTTTTATTTCATTTCTAACTACAATTCAACTATTTTGACCCCATATGTTTTGTACACAAATCACAACAATTAGCAATTTTCGAGCTGACATGCAAAGACAAAAGGTCACGTAACTTTGTAACTATACGTCTGATTTTCGAAAAAAATTGTTTTAAAAAGATGCGTAACACTCGAAAGAAAAAAGTCATGAAAGGAAAACTTAATCTGCCGCGGTTTCGGAGTAGTCGCGAAATTACAACGGGGGGGGGGGGGGGGGGGGGGTTCAAATTGATCCCCCCATAACATAGGGTTAAAGATTCATTAAAATGAACTTACATTCAAAATTATAAAACGACAACATAGAACCATATACATATTATATTCACCTGAAACAGTGGGTATAATAATGATGTGGTCCTATGTACACAGCCAAGGTAGCCATATCAGTATTAATACAGCCCTTCCCGTGTGTACCGTAATTATTAATACCCCGGCATTGCCCGGTTGGCCCCGGTACCCATTTAATACACCTGAGGGCATGGAGAGGGACCAATATTGTATGAGAGTCAAGAGCATTCACCTCAGTGCTCCCACTGTATGATGGGTAAATAAGTGTTTATTCTTTAAAAAAGTGAAAGTAATTTATTTGGAATAATAAACGAATCAGAGGGGTTGCTTGGATGCAATATGAGCATTGATCTTAATCTAGGAAAGCGCACGTGTGGAGGGGTTGGGAGGTGGGACAAAGTAATCGAGAAAATACGTTAAACAGGACAGACAGACAATTATCGACATGATTTAGGAAAGAACTGCTCCTGCCGTAGATAAGACGCCCCTAGAAATTTGTAGGAGGGGAAGGGAATAGTTGCGTACCACTTAAAATCAAATTAATTAAAGGGGCTATAAAATGAAGGTGAAAAGGATTAATGTCAGATCCTCCTCTTACTTCCATATTCCTCTTATAAAAAAAACACATTATCAGATGACTCCCTCTGTTTTCCTTGTTCTTTTTTTTATGGGCAATTCGAAAACGGTGATTGAGTGGGGGAGAGGGGAGGGGGTATAGCCTACTGTTGTGTGAAGAATCACGTGTTGCTTCATTGTCTCTTATTCTTATCTTACAGTTGAATGTCAAGAGTGTTCTACATCAGGGTCGAATGTGTTTGGTGGCTATCAGTATGTCTTCTACCATGGTGTCCACAAGACATTCTCTGACACACGTGCACTTTGTCAAAGCTTAGGAGGTGACATGCCAATCATTACATCAGCTGGTCAAAATGTACGTACGCACTTTTATCGTGTATTACATTAGATATTTATCAGAATTTTCATGGAGCCAACCGTATTAACGTTTTTCAAATTAAACATTTGTTAACCGTTGCCTATTTATTCTTATGAATTATCATGATTTTCTGGCGCCTTCTTTGTGTTTTCAGAACGAATAGGGCGGTGGAATGTTGTCAAGACTGATACTGATAGCAAAAATCGTATTCTAATTGGCAGATGTTCTATGAAGTTAAACTTTTCAAGAATTATGTTATTGACCGGTATAGGCATTAATCCAACCACCCAACAGGTACACCATGTATAATTCTCAGATAAAAAAATAAAAAAACTAAACTGGTGCTTGTGTCCACTGTCTCACGATTTCCCACCAGTGAAATTAAAAACATAAACCTTAATATATACGTTGCCGTGTTTGGAAAATGTGACATCTGAAACTCCGATTGAAAATTTTAAGAATACTGGTGGAACATTCCCATTGTAACCACTACTGCAATGAGCCGAAAGTTCGAGGGGGCTGAGCCCCGGCCCCCTCCCCCTTCCACTCCGGGAACGGAGGGACCGCATTCATGTTTCCCAAGTCTCCAGTAAAGGGGTACTTTTCACGCATCAAAGTCCGGCTCGTAATACACACAAAAATCGGCCCGTATACACACCGGACTTAAGGCCCGGTCACACAGCCCTCCACGGGCGTATCGCGGCCGAATCACGGCCAAAAATTTCTGCCCGTGAAGCAGACGCTGTTGGACGCTTTGAGGTCGCGATAAAGACGCGATACAGCCGTACTTTACCCGTCGTTACACGCGGTAAGAAATTCACACGCGGTTGGCCGCGCGAAAAAGTTTTGGGCTGCCCAAAAATTTAGACCGCGGGTAATCGCGGGCGGTACACGTGGTACACGTGGTACACACGCGGTAAAGACGCGGTACAGACGCGGAACGAACGTGCCAGGACGTGCTACGGCCGCGGTTAAGACGTGGTTACACGCGGAATTGGACGCGAAATTTTAGCGGGTAATTGCGGGTGGAGCACGGTCATAGCACGTTTGTTCCGCGTCTGTACCGCGTTGTTATCACGTGCATTAGCGTGTGTACCGCGTGTAAGCGTGGTAGGCCGCGGTACCGCCGCGCTTCACCCGCGATAAGGACGCGGAACAGTCGCCGGCGTCTGTTCCGCGGGCATACCACGGGTAAACCGCGGGTAAGCCAATTTTGCACATTTTCCACCACGGGCAACCGCGGGCAAAAAAAAAAAATCGCGAAATTTTACCCGCGATACAGACGCGAAAGGCTGTGTGACCGGGCCTTTAGGGGGGGGGGGTGCTTTCAAAGGGAGGGAACATGCATACGCTTACTTAAACTAAACTGGTGGGGGGCTGAGCCTTGAACGCAATGCATGCGACTAAGATATTGATCCTTTGAATCGGGGGGGGGGGGGCGTGTTTACTTTGCCCCTCCCCCGAAATTAGACAATGTTGCAATGCGCCACGTTGATATCAATCTCCAATGTATTTCTCTTTTCTTCATAATATGAATAGGCTTTCATTGCCACGAGATTACCGACGAGGTATGGTAACTATTACATCGGCTTAGAAGGCACGGATAAGGATGATGAATACAAATGGATTGATGGAATGGACCCTGAGTATGTATCAACTATCGTCGTGATAAAATGCCACTCATGTTTTTCAAATCATTTTCCTATAACAAATATTCATTATGGCAGTGGTAATAATGGCATGCAAGCGCGGAAAGAGGGCACTAGCCATTTGAAGAGGAGGGGCAAGTGTGGCAATTTGCACCCCTGACGAATTTCAACCAAGAAAAAGTTATACTGACCGACTGTGCATAATTGTGGATGTTTTTTGGTGAAACCCGACAATTTTTATGTGATTGGTTGGTTGGTTCTACCTGACTGCTAGGAAAGCACGTTATGTTTCTAAGTTAGCAACCAGAGGACCGACGCGACTTAAGGCCGTCGCAAGTCCTCTCCGAGGGACTTGGTTATGACGGTTAATGGCTTACCAATTGGCAGTAGCGCATTGACTTGCCACTTGGTTCCGAACCCGGATCTCCTGGTTATGCGAGACCACTGATCTACCTCTGAGTCATCTCACCTTAAACCATTAGTCAAATCGTTTTGAACTAAAATCTAATTTGAGAGTAATAATATCGCATAAATCATTGAATTATTGCTAATATATTACATTTTGATCGAATCTTCATATTCCAAGTTGTTCTAAGACATGCAAAATCTTCAACGTTTTCCTAATATATCGAACTATGTCACACGTGTCACAAGTTCAAACGGCCTAGGTTTTCTTCACGAAACAATTGTTTTATATCCCAAAATCGACCATTCAAATTCATGCTACAAAAAGCGTGTTTTATGAATGAAAATGTTTTGCTCGCAGTTATTTATGATAATGCCATAGCATGCAATTATAATACTTGCTCCAGACTCCAGTTTTGTCAAGGAATGAATGAAAAACTCCAAGCTACATGAAAACCTACTATTTCAATGTATTTATAAAATCAGTCATAAGCACTTCATACTGATTTACCAGTAGATTCATGTCCTTTTGTTCTCCGAAGCAACCGAGTCATAATGTAGTCGGCCTTTGTCTCATATATCTATTTAGTATTTCCGTGGAATTTGTGATTTTTTTTATTGTTAAGTCTATTTGATATATATAAATTACTCACTTTAAAGGTATACCAACTGGGATTCTAGTTTAAACAACCCAGACAAACCTTACTGTGCTGTAATGAGGTCGTCTGGAAATAGCTCGGTAAATGGACTATGGAACCGAGTAACATGCACATCAACTAGAAAACATATCTGCCAAATACCTATCGGTACGTATTTCAAGTAATTTTGCGTTCTCACCATTTTTAGTCCAGTTCTGAAGGATCGTGTAAAATAACATTGTATGTATAATATTCTAGATATTGGCCGACTGTTCCTGATACAAAATGTTAACGATCAAATTTTGTTTACTATTTTTTGCCCAGTTTTTATCTACGGTGTGTACAGTGATATCAAAACAATTATATGAGAGAGCCGTTTTGATACTAAATAAAGCCTCGGTCACAAATGCCATTACGTACTGCTACGAACGCCGTACGAACGATTTTCAGACAATGGAAATGCGGGAAGACGATGGAAAAACAGGGAGATTCGTACGAAGTTATCGTTCGTACGAACCTTTGTGACCGTAGCATATTATTTCGTACGAATCTCCCTGTTTTTCCAATGTCTTCCCGAATTTCCATTGTCTGAAAATCGTTCGTACGGCGTTCGTAGCAGTTTGTAATGGCATTTGTGACCAAGGCTTTACGATCAAAGGCATTTTTCTTTTTAATACACTATTTCGAGACGATCATCCGATATTCATGCTCTAGATGGACTGTCATTTCTGTAACCATACAAAATTAATTATCAATGATAAGAGCCGAACGAAGAATAATTATGCAAAATTTACATAATTTATCAAGCTTAAAGGGGTAATAATTCAGTTACACTCTTCTAGGTGATGTCGTAACATATTTATATATATTATGAATGTTGATTGTTGAACAATAATGAGTAATGTCAAGTAAAAACATTCCGCGATATCATTTAGATGATGTTCTTGAGGTCTAAACGTTTTGGTCCATATATTACTCCAATAGTAATTTTAAAGAGTGTTCTTGCTGTAATTAATTAATTCATCATGTTCATGCAAAACGAAGATTCATCATGTTCTCTGGAGGGGAAGGGGGAGGTTTCCCAATCATTTTCATTTGTCAATTATAATGTTCTCGTTTGTATGATTATTCGATTAGTTATTCGATGCAATTCATGAATATATATATTTTATATTATTTTATTAAAAATAGTGACACAAATTTGAAATGAAATTAAATCCAGCAAAACATAATAATGGTTTGCTTGATGATTTCCAGACGTATGTCAATAAACTTCCAGGTAGAATATAATTAAAGAGTGTTCGATGTATATTGAAGAGATCGTCTATGTCTACAACGATGTACATGTTAGAAATACATGTTACCTTGATGCATTAAAGTCAGTCCAACCTTCATAACAAACTACTATAGACTAGAAGAAAGCTCGAAAAGCAGAGTAGCAGACTGGTAAAAGTTGGAAAAACATCGGACAAAAATTTGAGTAAATTATGAATTTTTCAAAGGTGGAATGAAATCACTTTAGGTATGGCCTCTTCAAATTGGATGAATCGGTAATGTTTCTGTGAAGAAGAGGCGGAAAACCTTACATTTGTTCCAACACACAACAGTAGTACCCCAAGGAAGGAAGCAGAAACCATTCAAACAAAATGTATTGATCTTTTTTGTACACGACAAACGATAGAGTTGTCCGTGTCTTATGCTACGGTCACAAAGGTTCGTATGAACGATAATTTCGTACGAATCTCCCTGTTTTTCTATTGTCTTCCCGAATTTCCATTGTCTGAAAATCGTTTGTACGGCGTTCGTAGCCATTCGCAATGGCATTTGTGACCGAGGCTTAAGTCATAATCCAAGGGCTAAATTGCTCGTTTGAGATTCGCACTTATTTAGCGACCTCGCTTTTCAAACTTTCATAATTCTCTTATTATTGGTCCGATTAATTTTAAACTTTCACCATTTTTGTGTGTGCTTTCGTACAAATGAACTTATTAGACGGGTTGGATAATTGCCCTTTAATTATCTGTACTGTGCATGAATAGAATGCCAAGTGCTGTAAAATGCTTGCATCGTTATACTTGTAAACGGGTAATATTATACTCTTTGTCATTTTGGATTTGATAGCCCATCCAATATTTCAGTTTGTAATAGTTCAGTAGCTGTCTTCCATTTTGAACATAGCGTATGGTTTTATTTAATGTTATATAAACAGACGATTACTGTAGATGGCAAGAGCTCGGCGAATCTCAGTATCTCATCAAGTTCGCACCTCGTGCAACACCAAGTGCTGCCAGGGAAACATGTCAAAGTTATGGCGGTGATTTGGCTATCATCAAAACAGCCGAAGTCAACGTAAGTCCCCTGACACATTGTATACAGTATGCACTCGGTCAATATAATTAAGATAATCAAGGAAACTAAAATATACGCCAGAGGGCAAACTACATGTACCTACAACTTTAATATGTACACCCCGATGGAGAGACCCCACCCATGTCACCGCAAACAACGCCGAACCAGATTTCACTGACCATTAATCTCAGAAAATCGATCACGTCTGTTAACAGTGGCGGATCCAGGGAGGAGGGGGCCCGGGAAAAAAATGTGTTCCCTACCCCCCCCCCCCCCCACCCACCCACTGAGCGAACTTTTGGCCCCCACGATTTTCAAATTTCAGCACACTTAATTTCATATTGATTTCAAATCTGGGCCCCCCCTAAGAAATCCTGGATCCGCGCCTGTCTGTTATCGCGTTCAAGTGGTTCGCGGGGGGGGGGGGGGGGGGTGGATAGGCGTGGAGAATTGTCTGTGGACTAAATTGATTTCAATGACATTTGAAATGTGTTTTCATTCGCAAATTACCTATTGTATATCGAATAATCATGATTAACGCAATTCTTACTGAATTACACGGCAAAAATGAGTAAAAGTAAGTATATTGTTATGCAATGAAATAAAAACTAGACAAAACAAAACAAAAACGGGCATACTATCTTTGAACAGCTGTTACCCCCCCCCCCCCCCCGATTAAGTGTTTTAAACACTTAATAGAAAATTGGTATTGCGAACAAAAAATGTTTATTTTGTTCAGAATCAATCTGTATATATTAGAAGTAATTACATATTTTACATATTTTTTTCTCCAATAATAGATTCTTTCATTAGTAATTTCTTGCGGGCCTATAGAGCTCCTGTATGAAACCAATTTCGCTGATTTTCTTATCATTCTATTACAATTAGCACAACTAGGTTTTTCATTCTGACTTAATAATTTGTGAATAAATCATACATTTATTATTATTGTTTTCTTCTCCATTTTGCTCACAGAACTTTCTCAAAGCGCTTCTACCTCCATTTAATCCTAGTGATCCATATTTTTGTTTCTTGTTCGGGCTTTCGAGGAGTGGCAGGGGAACTTTCTACTGGCTGGATGATACTGCACTCGAGTATGTTCTTCATATGATTCCTATGTCAAGATCAGTCAAGATAAAATACTACATGTTGATGAACGCCTATGCCTTTCTTGATTCAATCTGTAGTTACAATTCTCCGCGAAACAATTTTTATTTTAATGTATCCAGTGTTCGTTAAAATATTATATACTTTATCAGCATACTGTGTATTATCTATATATGCTTCAGATGAATATCAAGACGATGGAACTTAAAAAGCTCGGCTCAGCATTACATAACGACGTTACAATCAGATTTCTGCTCTATATTTTGGCATAATACGTTTTTCCAATATTCCTCTAGCATATCGAAGGAGGATGAGGTTACTGTGAATGAAGATCTGAATTTGAATTAAGTTCAATGATGTGTTATATCTGAAACTCCATGATCATTCTCAATTTTATACGAAAAATGAAATAATGATTAAATTCATATTAATGATGATGATGATGATAATGATAATGATATAATGATAAGAATAATGAAGATGATAATGATAATAATAACAACAATACTACTACTACTTCTACTATTATTACTATACTGTTACTACTACTAATTATGATAATTATGATAAAGATCATAATATGAACTTAATTTATAAACCGTTTTTTTCTCCTAGTCCTAGGTATAATGATTGGTATACTGCCACGGAACCAAATGAAGCTGACACCTGGGGTTGTCTTGGTACGCGTGGTGGTCCTTGGTATGACCAGGTTCCACAGCTATCTTCACCGTACATTTGTGAGCGTACACGAGGTATGCATTCTGATGATCCAACATTAATTGTGCTCTAGTGACAGTTGCTCCGGGCTATATTTTAACAAACTATTTGTCTTTGGACCATGTTGGTAAGGGTTAAGGTCGGGGTTAGCCTAAGGATAAAGGGCTGAAGTTTGGACTTCGTTTAGAGTAAGAAATCGATTGCAGATAAATCGTCGTTGGAGCATGTTTCTATTCGTACAAGCTGAATTTTAAATTGATTTTCAGATATTTCGGATATTGCGCCACCTCCCAAAGGAAATTCGTTATTATTATTTAAACAAAACCATGCATTCTCCACTTTGAACACCATTATGGGATGTCTGGCTGATTCAAAACTTGGCTATTTTCTTTTACTACAAAAGATACCACTGCAATTGTTTATTTCAGGGAAAAAATGAAAATCGTGTTTTCAAATCTTGCGCATTCTTACACCAGGGAGATGCTTACACCGACGAAATAGTTTCTTCTTCAGACAGTGGATGAATAATTTTTCCTTTAAAAAATGACAACAAATGCAATCGCCCTCTGTTTTCATACATATTTGGAACATTAAACAAAGTTAATCATCGACTGTTAGGCCCACAAAGGGCTCCGTAATTGGGCAGAGAAAAGCCGACGCAATTTAGTTAATATCACACTCTTACTCATCACATTAAACTCTCTACTAGAAATTATGTTTTATTACAGTATCTGATAAAAATAGTGAAGCATCATTTGGAGGTCTAGATTATTTCACCTCTCCTTCATGGCTAGCTCGGTCTTTCTCAGATGCACGGACCTACTGTCAGTATCATGGAGCTGATTTAGCACTCATCAAATCACACGATATCAATGTATGTTCAATTGAACTCCTTTTCATTCAGCTATCAATTATTATCAAAATGGTGAATCATTGAACACATGTTAGTCTTTTGTTGTTTTATTAGTATTTTCTATCACAACTGGGAATTTTACATAGTTATTGAACTATGCAAATATTGGAAAGAATATTTCATGAAGTAATATCACGATTGAATGACGTATGTGACTTGATAGACAAATCGGTTCTTCATGAATGCGAGATGAAATTGGAAGCAAATGCCAATTCTAAAAAGGGTTATTTGAAGTTCATAGCAGAGGTAATATAACAGTCATGTAAACACATTTCCAATCCTTTGGCTTGAAGCTTTACAATATCTTTCAAAAATGATTATTAAACATGAAAAACTAATGAAGTTAATGAGGTGACATTTTTTCCCTTCCCAAAAGACTTTTCTCCATGTCAGGAATTCTGAGGAATATTCGGGATCAGATGACCAGATATTTTTTGGTTTGACTGACCAAGCTGATGAAGGCACATTTATATGGATCGACGGAACACCTTTACAGTAGGTTTAATAAATATGGAATGCCAACTTAGTCGTTTCTACTTTGAAATGACCGCTAAGCTCAAAAGTACTTATATTACTCCTTTAATAATTATGTAATCTGTAAAATGTTCGTCTCATTATATTATATATGTAGGTCGAGATAAGTGACCCCCCCCAAAAAAAAAAAAAAAAAAAAAAATAGTAAGAATAACGAAAATTTCACGGAAATTTTTCGTGGTAACTAGATAATTATTAATTCATGAAATCTGTTTTTCTAAAAATTTCTTAATCTCACTTAAATCGCTATCTTATGTTTTGATAATGACATTTTTGTAGTTCGTACTAAAAACCACATGCATTTTGCCTTTCGTAATGCAATGGAGGGTGCACACTTTTGTAATGATTTTCATCGTTTGTACATGTCCAAGTGTATATTTTCTTGTAAAATTTTCTAACTAGCAATCCGAATATAGGTATAACAGCAGTGCATACATTGCTTTCCGAATACATTAATTTATATGATTTTTTTCTCGAGTAAGATTAAAAAGAATTGTGGGGGAACTTGCTTTTTGATTGAGGGAGTATATTAGTAAGATGTTTCGGCTCAAAACTACTGTTGAGAGATTAAATATTTAAAAGCCAAGAAATAAGACAATGCACTTATATGACATGGGTTATTACACTTCACTTGTCAGAACTAAGATTGCATATCTGCCAATATAATGCCAAAAAACTAAACCCACAAAACTAAGAACAAAGCAAATAGAAACACGCACCCCTAAAAAAAACAATCTTTTATAAAACCGTTCTTATGTTTAACCGTCTGTTTGCTCATTAATTTCTCCTTTATTCAATACACACAGGTATTCTTCATGGAAGTCTCCTGAACCTAACGGCGAAAATAATGAAAATTGTGCCTCTCTACTACCTTCTAATCCAAACATGGGATGGGATGATGCTTCATGCAATGGCATACGACCCTTCATATGTGAACGCTATCAGGGTAAGTCACATGCCAATGATGTATGATCGTTTCAGTTTCTACAACGAAAAATGGTTTATTGCTTTATTTCAAATTGCTTAAGGTTCACTGTTGTCGACTTGGAGCAAACACAACTCCACCCCCCCTTGTGCATTTTTGTCTGTTTACCCTTGTGGATAGGTCATCAGAGTATGAGTCTATCTAGTGACTAGGGGTTTGCATCATCGCAAAGGTCGCAAAGATGAAAATTACACTGTAGAGAGCGAATCTAAGAGATTTTTTTTCAAAGTTTCGACCCCTCGAAAGTGCTTGTATCGATTTTATTCATGTAAATTAACGTGATCATGACAAAATACACTTGTGCGAGGATGCAAAGCGAGTTGGAATTTATTAAGTTATTTTCCGCATTTCACAACCTTTCAAAAATCGTATGCATCATATTATCCTACATGCTACAAGGAGAGGGTTAAGAATCCCTGCTACATCACTAACGTTCGACCGACGTGTAGTAAGTGGGTACTTAGTAGAAATTATTCATGGAATGTACTGCGCGCTGAGAACTACGGTTAAAAGCAGGATTAATGACACCTACATTATTTGGAAGTAGCGAAATGTTCATAATAATGGGATATTCATCGCATTTATAGCAATGTAAATGTCAGGTGTTTTATTAGTATGAACATGATGAATACAAATTATACAAAAACACGTAATGGTTTGAAGTAATTATCTCGTCTTTTTGTCTCAAAACACAATGAACACCTAATAATGGCAATCATCTTCTTATAATCAATATGTAGATGTTCCTGAAAATGAGTGGAGTCGCCTTGATGGAACCCTGTACTATATCTCTCAATCCTCGATGACGTCATACTCATTTGCTAGAAAGTACTGTCAGGATCAAGGAGGTGATCTTGCCCAGCCTAAAACAAACGAAATCAATGTAAGGACGCATCGTCATATTAACAAGTTTAATTCCAAGTATGGAACGTTTTAATAAAACGTGATACAACTTGTTACGGGCGTTTCATAATTTAGCAATAGTGTGTGCAAAAAAAGAAAGAAAATATAAACAATAAAATTAATGTAAGAGAAATAGAGAATATGTTAGATTATGTGAAAACAATCGGAAACGGGTAATAGAGCAGCATGATATTGTTGTGATGGGCATATTATAAGGAAACAAAATTATATCTTATTTCAACTAGTTCAAGTTTCAATGATGTCATATACTATAGACATCGATAAATTAAATCCCACTATCATGATAATGGCACAATAGAGATATTCATCGGCGATTTTTCTCTTTCTGATGTATTCTCTTAATACATTCACCAGATGCATCTCATCCAGCTGGCTGGAGGTAACTCGTATTGGTTTGGACTCGATGATATCAATCAAGAGGGCACGTTCCAATGGATTGATGGCACTCCACTCAACAATAGTGGGTATGTGTTCAATTGTTTTATTCATACATATACACACAACAATATCCCACACACCCTATTCATGACAAAAGCTATGGTCACAACTAAGAGCGGCGACCGACCGATTTGTAGCCTGCTAGGTCGCCGCTGTCGAGCAGGCGAGCAGGCTGTAAAACCCCAGCGATGCCTGGGTGGTGCCCTGTCGATTTGCCTTCGATCGCCGGTCGATTTTAGGTCAAATCTGGGCAAAATCGATCGGCGGGGCACCAAAATACGCTCAGTGCCCGGGAGGCCGCCGACCGGGCACCGACCTAAGCGAGCGTTCGCCGTCGAGCGATATAGGTCCAAAATCGAAGCTGCGAGGTCAAAGGCTGCCGACCGACTGATCTCCCAGCGACGACCGGGCAGCGACTTGGCGGGGACCGCTCGGCAGCCTTTGACCTAGCTCGATTAGGTCGGTGCCCAGGCGGCGACCGCCCGGTCACGGAGCACATTTTTTGGCGGCGAGTGAAAGGTGAGCAGGCGCCTCCGAATTTTAACTCCGCGCTTAAACTTCAGCAGCGACCGAGCGATGCCCTAAAAACAAGCTGTGCCCGGGCGAAATTGGCTAAACCTCGCCGCCCGGCCGACGAGCAGGCTACTTTTAGGGGTTGTGACCATAGCTACACTGCGTTCATTTCATGTCGCAGACAGAATGCAATAGGTAGAAACTGGTATGTAACGTTAATAACATTATTATCTAAGATACAAGTTGATACTCATAAAGCTTAGGATGAGTTTTCCAATTGATTGATGGCACCACCTTCCCCCCGGAAAAATAAGGAATTTGTCTTACTTTCGACCTTTTTTTTTATGCGGACCTCATGGAGCCTAAAATGCAAGCCCTGATCATGATTTGCAAGAAAGACATACTTGTTTATATTTACATTTTAATTAATATATATTTTAGCTGAAGCTCGAATCAAAACGCTCACATAACCCTTTCAACCTTTCATGATTATGCCCTTTAAAGTAAATATATCTTTTATTGATTCCAGATTTCCTGGTTGGTCGAATGGTGATGCAACCCTATTTCAGAATGAAAGATGTGTTCATCAGAAGGTTACTAATGGATGGAGAAAACTACCATGTACATCCTACTCCAGGTTCGCATGTGAAAAACCTCCGAGTGAGTATTTGCTTTATATTTCTATTATCCATATTCAGGGGGTAACCTTTATGATAGTCCATGCTCATATTATGCTCGTTCCACCTCATTACTTAGTTCAAAATGCCACAAACGAAACAATATTCCAATTGATAACATTCTAATACTTTGAACCACTGTTTGAGAGCCATATTTGGTTTCCATTTTAAACGGAATATCATCCATCGTAATCCATGCTTCAAGGAAATAAAGGGAAATAGTTTATCATATGAAATCTGCCTATTACACATTCCTAGTTATTTAGGCTTTACCCACCTGCAGTTGATAACTCGAGGGAAACTTGACTTCATTTAATATCATATATCATTTAAATTGTTTTTCCCATAAGTTTTTATATCATTCAGATTTAGGAGTGGAAGTAACTTTGTTAACAAATATATGTATGACAAAAATTGATTTGCATGGAACAGCGAGAACAACATAATATACGAAATGTAAGGTTGAAGTGTGAGATAAGTCATTGCCTTGGTAACGTTATGTGTATTCCCCCATACTTCTCCTCTTATGAAGATGCTAGGCGGACACCAATTACTTGAACAAAATAATTATTTCCCCATAGGTCCGCGACAGATCCTTCCTGTACGTCTAATGGCAGCTACTCCATCCCCCTACGGAGGAGGTCAGGTGAATTCTTCATTTGTCTGTCTACTCGGCTCAGAGAATGAAGAGTTTCTCACATTGTCCACCAGAAGACTCGTCCGTCTGACCGAGGCTATAAATTCCGATAGTTACACAGCACCAGGAGACAGCAATGGTGCATCATCTGTAGTGTTAAGGCAGACTCTTCCAACTACTATGGACGGTTTGGGATTTTACGAATGTTCTGCGGTGACAGCCAGTAGAATAACATCTGCTCCTCTTGGCATTCTTCCTTCTACCCGTACGTATATATGATTTCACATTGGCCTATGTTTTTACGATTATATACAACAACAACAATTCAACTAAGTGTAAATATTTGTTCTGAATACTTTGAAATGTGAACACTCCTAAAAATACCATCAATGTTAATACTTTTGAAATAATATTACCTACTTTTACTTCTTAAGAACCTTTAGTCAATGCAAATGTAAACATGACTGAGGATTAATGGAATAAGAGCGAGAGAAAAAGAAAGAATATGAAAGGAGCAATGACGAAATATTAATGAATCAGAAAAAATAAGATTCAAATGTGAGATTGAATTATCGATTTTTCCTTTCTTATCTGTTTTTTTCTTCATTTCGTAGGCCAATGGCAACCCAGTGATGGTCGATTTACAAAGACAGTACACGTTGGAGATGATATCACACTCAGTGTGATGAGCACGACAGGGATGGTAGGTGAAGACAGGATCAGATGGCGGAAAATCACTGATGTAGACTGGGCTAATTCACTTATCGGAATGAGTTCTGGTAGTCTAACACACACAATCCAATCTGCATCTGTCTCAGACGCCGGTGTGTATGTGACTTACGAGGATGGAACGTTGGAACAACATCAATTTAGCTTCATAAGACTCATCGTAAAGGGTTCGATTCCTCCTACCTTACACGTCGAAAATATATCATTACATATTGTTCGTAAGGATGTTAACCTACAGGAACAATTCTCCTTTCAGCTCTGTAACTATTATTCAAATGTAATGTAACAAATCAGGAAAACCCGACTAGAACCGACCAGATATATTCGGTTAATGAGACAGTAAAGAATACAATGTAAAATTGTAATTTCCATAATTGAATGACAGTTTCTGCAGTATTACGTCTAATTGAGGATTTACACGAATTTATATGTAACAGTTTGTCCTAATTGTGCAGTTCTAACTTTGTACAATGGACTAATGATTAAACGTATCAGGATGATTACCCCCTGGACAATCATCCCCGGAAAATCCCCCCCGGAAAACTACCCCCAAGGACAATAACCCCCCCCCCCCGAAAATAATTACCCCATGAAAATGATTCCCCAAGGACCATTATCCACCCTTGAAAATTACCCCTAGGACAATTACCCCTCGGATAATTACAACCTTGGACAATAACCCCCCCCCCGGACGACCAAGGTCAACCACCCCCGAGGACAATCCCCCCCCAACCCGGCAGATCACCCCGTTCATTAAAGGGGACTTCCAACCTGATAATAAGTTCGTTTTTATTTTTTTTCGGGGGGAGGGGGTAGTTGTCCTCGAGGGGGGGGGGGGGGGCGGAGGTTGATTGTCTAAAGGAGCAATATTCAGGTGGTTGTCCTCGGGGGAGGGTGTAATTGTCCATGGGGTTAATTTCAAGGGGTTATTGTTAGTGGGGGGGGGGGGGTAATCGTCCTCGAGGGAGGTAATATTCCGAGGGTTATTGGGGAAACATCATACTCTTTTAAAGACTTTCTGACCTATTATTTCATTAGCATTTAAAAGAGTCACTTGATTTATTTTTTCGTTACTTTAAAAATATGATTGATTTCCATTTTTTTTCTAGGCTACCCCCCTTCAAAATACCTCCCATCTTCGTGGTATATATATATATATATATTCACTATTGTTCATGTTTCATTTCATTAACAGAGTGCCCTTATGGAAGATGGAATCCACCATTATGCGATCGTTTGTGTGATAGTTGTTATAATGGAGGTGTATGCCACGAACTCTCAGGAACATGCATCTGTCCTCCTGGCCATGCTGGAAAGAACTGCCTCCAAGGTAAAATCGAGAAATCTCTGAAGAAAATATTAAAACCCCTTTATTTGTCTTTATCTAATACATTCTTTTCCTTTGGTTGAATCTTTACAATTAGATACTACTATGTTTTATAATTTTTTTTGTATGAATAATAATAACAACAACAATAACCATTACAAAAGGAAGAAGAAAAGAAGAGGGAGAAGAAAAGGAAAGGGGAAGAAGAACAGGAAAGAGGAAGAAGGAGACTTATGCTGATAATGATGGCGATGATAATAAAAATAGTGATAAGTAATGTAATATAACGATCATCATGAACATTATAAAAATAATAATAATCACAATATATTCTAATACAAGTAAAGATAATGAAACAATGGTTATTTTATTATTTACATAAACGTCGTGGGAAGATTATCTGTTTTTCACGTCTTTTGTTTCCATAAGTAACTATTAGTTTAGTTCAATGCTCAATGCTTATTTGCCAATGATTATAATGACTGACAACAGATTTGTTTTCCAAATCAAAATAAGAAAAAATAACAATATTGTCGCTTGTGGCTTGGGAGAGTTTTGATTGACTGGAATAGGTTTGCATATTACGTGCTCTTTTCATCTCATTTTTCAAAACATTTCCTATTAATATATTTTGTTTATATAATTGAATTCGATGTATATTAGTAATAAAATTGTTGAAAAATTTCCTTTTATTGTCGACCGACAGGTTTTTTAGAAATTATGGGAAGAAAAACATTGATAAATCGGAGAAAGGACCCTTTAAGAATTTGTGATTCATATCTAAATTGAACACTCTGATTAATATATATGTTCCATGCAGCGTGCGGGATGCAAAAGTTTGGCTGGGACTGTGAGTTTGAATGTGGACCCGGTCAGCCTCTGGACAAGTGTGCTGGAAGTCAGATCTGTCTACCTGATCCTTATGGATGCTCCTGTTTAGCTGGATATACAGGAATATACTGCAATGAAAGTATGTGCTAAAACGACTTCTATAAATGAATGAAATTTGGAGGAAACCAGAAACCTTTAAACAACAATGGTTTCGACTTTGTGTTTTATACAATTTTCACGGTCAAAAACTAAATCCTTTTACAGGATTTGTCTAAAATGGATAACACTTTGGAGATAATTATGGTGGTACCTTAACATGTGTATACACGAATAGCGGGTTTATATATATATATATATATATATATGCATGGAAATTATCAGGATTTTAGAATGGGCACCTGTGTATTACGTGAACAAAAATATGCTTAGGTCACACGCGAATTAAATGTTCGGGGGAGCAAATTCATTAAACACTATGTCAAGTCATGAATCTCGTAATATCTCGTCTTTCTCATCCTACAGCATGTGGAGACGGTATGTTTGGAGCTGATTGTCTTCAAAAATGTAATTGTACTGATGGAGCAGATTGTGATGACGTCACTGGACAATGTACAATAGATTGCTCGCAAGGATGGTCTGGCTCAGCATGTCAAGGTACAATCATTTAATGTAATTTAAAATGACATACGAATATACTTTTGAATAATTTAATCTGTCACTAAATTAAAATAAAATTTAATAATATAACTAATAGCAAAATAATTATGAAATAATTATGTTATCTTGGTTATTTAGGGACATATCCAATTATTCAAAAATATATTTATATGAACACTTGGCATTACATACTTAGTCGGAGGATTAAACCGTGGACTAAAGTTAGTCCGCTTTCGATAATAACACCCTAAGCCCATATATCCCCCATGTATTGAACAATAATCACATACTGATACAGGCACGCACGCACCCTCTGGAGCGCAGGCACACACACAGCTTTCCATATGTGAATCATAAATGTTTAGCTGTGGTGTAAACAAACTACTGGGACCGGTCTGTTTGCATTCCATTAGTCATTACAATCAAATATGATCATATGCTAGTATCTAATTCATTCATCATTTATCTATCAACTCTGTTGCTACCTTGATATTTCTAATCTAGTATCTGATATATTTATTATTTAGCTACCAACTATGATGCTACCGTCGTATTTTTAACTTCTGTCATTTCAATTCAATAAGCCATTTCGTATATACTATCTGCGCATGGGCAGATAAAGGTCATTTGTGATAAAATTGTAAAACCCACCGAGATGAATACGTGTTCATGTTATGTAATCAATAGGGACTTTTAGATTTGCGTGAACTGATACGTGTGACGTCCATTCAAGGCAGTGCATTGAAAGGACGTCGATCGTAGCAATCCACGTTATATTTGTGCAAATCTAAAAGTCCCTATTATTCATGTGTGCACCTACGGTACATTCTATGATACAAGAGGGCAAACAAAAGCTTTTCATGCAGTACATACATGACTTTGGCATTGATTATTCTAAAATACACAAAGTGGGACTTCTCCACGAGTAGAAGATCTGTAGATATTTGGGGTCATTATTTTGACCCATGTGCTAACTACGAAATGGTCTATTCATTTCAATTCAATAACGGTTTATTATGCAATTTTAAAATACATGCATTCGAATTGTCATTTTGCATGAAAAGCAGCAGAAGCTGGATTATTCATGTTTACACGTTGACATGATCAGGTGATGAATACATAATTAAATCAATCTCATTTTTGAATATTGACACGTTAAAAAGATTGTTAAAAATACATTTAAAATTACATTGCACATTAAGAATGTCAAAAGAAAGTCTTATACTCCCGTCTGGAAATGAATAAATTGCATTTTAAGATTGGAGATGACTGAGGAGTAGACCAGTACTGTGTTTGTAATTTAACTTTCTTTTTACTAAAATCCTAGTTCCACCACCATTCTCTTCAACTACTGTCTCTTCTCCACCAGAATCAGATTCAACTGGAGGTACTTCGTCAAGTTCCATAGCAACTGTCGTAGGAAGCGCTGTTGGTGCTATTGTTGTGATTGTTATCGTTATAATTCTCATCATCTTCCTTTACAAGCGAAGAAGGTTAGAGAGATACCTTGTACTTAATTCGTCCCTCTCAGCAGTCCATTCTCATCGTACTTCTCCACGCATATGGCTAATACTGTATGGGCATGACAATGCAAGCTGAAATATGATTTATAAAGTTATTTGAATACTTTCTTCATTTTTAAAATTTGCTATTCAATGTAAATATTCTAAAGCATAACGTTTCCTAAATGTCACGGAAACCAGTTTAAAATACTTATTATATTTCTAACATGTATTTTAAAAATACCGTACCAATTCCCACATGCCAATTGTCATGTTTACAGGTTATTATATCTGTTATTTGAAATTTATTATTTGTAAAACTATGTATTTCCTCAATGCATTTTATCAATTGCTTTCATATTATTAACTTTCAGCGATGAATCAGCCACTACTAAGTCTAAAGGGAAGGAGTCTGATACGTCTCCTCAGTATGAGAACCCGGTATTTGATCAGTCAAAGACAGATGTCCATACCTACCAAGACATTAATACTGACACCAATACCTACCAAGACATTAATACTGCTGATCAGAGCTACGAGGATCTCTCCGACCCTCATACCTACCAAGATCTTAAGAAACCTGATCAGGAGGCTAACTACGAAGAATTAAATGACGCCAGGAACAGAGATTATGTCAACGTACCAGGCATTTAAACTATCAATATATCAGAGGTGTCGTGGTTGAGTGGATACGTCTGTTGAGGTCTTAAAGTGTAACATGGTCTTAAAGTGTAACACGACCCCCTAGCTCCTGAAAAAAGAGTCGCTGCGTTGCGCATGCGTACGTGGAGCTAGCAGACGGACACATACTTTGAAAACAAGCTACGGTAGCTACCTAGCAGCTAGATGCAGATCATACAGCTGCATTACTATCCTGACTAGTGTATTAAAACCTGTTCTATTCATTCTCAACATTTCAAACACCAGGTATCAACGATTTCAACAAATTCGACATTTTGAAGGTAGAGACTGATAGTAGACTCTAGGCCTAAAGGGAGATATCAAGTAGATCTAGACCCTATCATGAATCGACTTCGCTTACTAGTATTGCTAGTATTGGTAGTATTGGTGAATGAGTGTCGCTGCCAAGGTGGCGAGCGCGGCAACGATGGTGAAGAACAGCCAGCGCCACGGGGTCTTTTGACAATTCTTTTTTTTTGCTATGGCAGACAGCCAGTGAAAATAAATTCGTTAACTCCGTTTCGTTGACACTCACCAGAGATTTTTAAAAGGGGCACTAATGATAATGAAAAATGGGCATTTGTCGCAGGAAAAGGGGAACCTATAAGATTTTAATAGGGGCATTTATCAAAGATAAAAAGGGGTATTTATGAAAAGGAGAGGGGCCGTATAAAAAGGGAAAAGGGGCGTGCACTCATTGGGAGGGAAAGGGTACTTACAAGAAAGGAAAAGGAGGCATGTGTCAAAGGGGAATTTATGAGAAAGGGAAGGGGCTCTTATTAAAAAGGGAAAGGAGCACATATCAAAAAGTAAAAGGGCACTTATTAGAGGGGACGCGTGTCAAGGTAAACAATAAAAGGGCTATTATCAGATATCATAAGGGGCACTTATGAACTTGTGACAAACATACAATCCAGATGAAATACGCCATAGGATGAAATCATTTACGAGTATACGAGTAAGGAAAGAAAAATATAAGAAACCAAGATTACTTTTAAGATTAGAGAAAAAAAATAAGAAAAAGATAGAGGAAAGAAGGGGAAAAAAGGGTAGCCAGGCCTATAAAAAACAACAAGAGGTTGACTAGAAGTGAAGACATGGTTTCAATATTATCTTGCTCCTTTCCCTTCTTCTTTCGTCTTCTTTTCATTTCAATTGTCAGTATCAAACAGCAGTATACTGCTGTTTGCATGCGCTGCATGATCTTTGTGCATGATACTACAGCTAGCTGTGCGTAAGCGCCGCGCGCACGCAGCGACTCTTTTTTCAGGAGCTAGGGGGTCGTGTTACACTTTAAGACCATGTTACACTTTAAGACCTCAACATGCGTCGCCGGACTGTCGATCATAAGGTCCGTGGTTCGAGTCCCGCCGCGGCACTAATGTCCTTTGGCAAGACATTGATGTACATTTGCCACACTTCACCCAGGTGAAGTAAATGGGGACCTGATAAGAATTTTTCCTTGAAACGCAGAGCGTGTAACAGCTCTTCTGCTTATAGCCAGCGTAATTATGCTGCATTTTTGTAGAGCGCATAGAGACTTCTGATAAAGTAAGCGTTAGGCCCTATATAAAGCAAATATAATAATTATAATATATATATATATATATATCTTAATGTGCTGATTAAGGATTGAATACATGAGAAAGAGAAAGATCCGGCAATCTTATCGCAATGAATTTGAGTTACCAAGAAGGAAATTTTTGGTTATAATTTTGAGAGATAAAATATGTTGTCTTGATTAATTACGTATATATGTCCATGTACGAATCATTCTGTGAAGAAGAAACCATGCTTTCTGCGTCCTGTGCTCCTGTTATTCTCATATCTTTTTTAATTTGGTTTTAATTCATTTTCTTCTGCAAAGTACAAAGTTTCTCGATAAGAATAATAATATAAAGTAAAATAAGTATATTTCTGACAATGTATCATAAATTAGCGAATATATATAACAATTGTTATTTAAATAAACGAAATGACAAACTGTCACAAAAAATTAGTACTAAATTTCCTCAAACAATCGAAATTATTTGCGGAAGAAGGACTGTCATTGTAAGCAGATTGCTTGACAATACAGCCGCCCCTGACAAAACTCATGAAATAGATTACTAGTAACACATTTATTCAGCTGAACGGATAGGTAATTGAAATACATATTTAATGGTGGTGATATTGACAATGCAGATGAGGATGATGATGAAGATGACGATAAAGATGATGATAACGATGATGATAATGATTCGAATGAAAGAAGAGATGACATTATGATAAAGACTGAAGAGTTGACACAGAAATTTTACCTTGAATGTTCTCATAATAACATCGTTTTAACTTTGGCCGTAAGTGAGTAGGGTGCAACATGATGTAATAGATTCTGGGAGAGAGTTCCATAGGTCTGGACCATGGTGTCTAATAGATCTATGGGCAATAAGTAATTTCGGGTGGACTAGATGAAAATCTGAGGAATAACTGGTATGATAGGATTGCATGGCTTTATTTATAGTGTAACAGTTTTGAAATGAAAGAGAGAGCATAATATTTGAATACTTAAACATGATCTGTAAACTTTGTAGCAAATTTTATGTCGAATACTGTTAGGGTTTTCAGTTTGTAAAATATTGGACTTGTGTGAGATAAATGTGGTGAACCAGTACATATACGAAGGGCTTTCTTTTGCTATAAATAAATAGAGTTGATTTTGGTTTTGGTGCTGGGGGTCCATACTACATTACAATATGTTATATACGAAAATATCAATGAATTATAAAGCATAACAAGCGTATAAAATGGGACTAATTTCTTTATTTATATAATAAACCAAGAATCCTAGAAATAGAAGTAGTTATAATTATGACGCATATGTTCATTCCAATTTCAATGTTCATCGATGATGACACCCCAAAATGTTGGTGTTCTCTTTCTTTCGAGAGGGACATTATCTATAATTATGTTGTAAGGAAAGTCGATGATATGAGAATTTGCGTGCTTGAAATACATGAAACTTGTTTTTATCTATATTGAGGAATAACTTATTGCATTGAAACCATAGGGATAATTTTAGTAACTCATTATTAAATGTATTTACTAAAGTGTTTACATTATGATATGAACAGCAGCTGTTCGTGTCATCAAGAAATGTCACAAATGATAATAAAGGTGTTGTATAATAGAAATAGCAAAGAGCCTAATATTGACTTTTGTGGTACTCCAATCAAATCATTTATAATCTCCCAGGTAGATTTAATATTTGATTTTACCAACCATTCTTCAATTGCTAGGTCACTTTTTAATGATTCAATATTTTGGGGTGTTTCTTTTCTGTTCATGTTTGATTTAGCTTTTTCTTTTTTCATCGTAATTTCATTATTACATATTAAACAAATTGGCAAATGATTAGATACATCATAATCTATTAATCCACTGGTAATGTCTTTATCAAAGATATTAGAAAAAAAATATTGTCTATAAAGGTTGAAGATTGGCCGTCAATTCCGATTGGTTTATTCATATGTGGATAACAGCTATTAGAATAAGAAATATGAAGAAGTGTGTCCTGGTACCTACTAAATGATAAAAGGTCAATGTGTAAGTCTGCCATTAAATATAAGTGTTTACCTTCTCCTGTAAGAGTATGAAGGCATTTATCCAGATCTTTACAAAATAAATTTGTGTGACTATGAGGGGGCTAAAGATTATTCGACGATTATATTTTTTTGTTTTGGATTAATGATTTCTAAGAAATAAAGATTCAATTTGTTTTAACGATATTTCTTTTCGGATTTTAAATTGTAAATGTTCATTGACATAAAATGTGACACCCCTCCTCTTATTTGTATCGCGTTCTAGTCTGATCAATGTGTAATCTTGCAAGTTAAATAAGTTAGGCGAAGTGTTATTGAAGCCAAGTTTCAGTGACACCAATAATAGAAAAGGGAAAATTATTTAGAGTATGCAGCAATGTTTTCAGAGAATCAAATTTGTTGCTTAATCTTCTAGCATTTACGTGAAGTAAACTAAATTTATGTCGGAGGATACCTTGTTTGTATTGAAAATGGATAACAGGTCTAAATCATTATCCATGAATATTGATTATAATTAACAAGTAATTTTGTATTAAAGGTACAATAACTGGTTTGCATATAAAGTTTCTGTTTTGTACTAGTATGGTGGTGGTAGTGATTAAGAGATAAACAGAGAATGAAATGAAGAGATATTGATAAGTTAACATGAAATGCATATCATATGAAATAAATTTAAAAAAAAGATCTTAAAGCGTTTACTTTGCAAACGAGTGTTATTTTAACTGTTCTGTATAAACGGTATAAACGATGTAAATATGTCCATGTTTATGCAGGGCCCCATGGAAGACCACTACTTATTGGTGAAAGGGCTACCCTGTCAAAAGATTATAAATAAAAAATAAAAAATAAATAAAACAGAACTCCTTCCCGGGGCCCGTGCGATGAGGCACTCCATCAACATGTCGTCAATGAAGGGACCACAGCACCTGGAATCCAGTTTGCATTCAGGCGCGGATCCAGGGGGGGGGGCCGAGCGTGCCTTGGCCCCCCCCCCCCCCCCCCCCCAAAAAAAAAAAAAAAAAAAAAAAAAAAAAGAGAGAGAGAGAGAGAGAAGAAAGGAAAAGAAGGGAAAAGGAAAAAGGGGAGAAAGGGAAAGAGAGAAGAGGAAGAAGAAAAGAAAAGGGGAAGAAAAAGATCGGGGGGGCCGAAAGGGCCTTGCCTCCCAGGCTGTTGCCCCCCCCCCCCATCACAAAAATAAGAGAGAAGGAAGGAAAGGGAAAGAAAAAAGAAAAAGGGGAGATACTGGCGAACTGATAGGGGGTAGGGGGCTTGTGGGAAATCAAATTTAAACGTGGGTTATTTCTAATTCCATAACGGTAGATTACAAATAATGCTGAAATGACATAATTTCAGAGATTTTTCCTCACTTTTTAGTAAATTATACGTTTTTATGTGACAAATTCCTAAATTTTCAGCCAGGCAAGAAATGTGATTCTTGAGATTCCTACATGTCAGGGCCCGAGGAACGGCGGGGATCGAGAGCCTCGAGCCCCCCCCCCCCCCCCGCTTTTTTTGAAAAGGTATATTAAATAAAAATAAAAAAAGAAAGAGAGCAAGAAAGAAAAAAGAGTTAATGGCCAGTGTCAAAAAATAATGAGGCATCAAAATATGCTCATCTGACCGTGATTAAATGCCTAAAGCCCCCCAAGCTTCCGGGGGCTCTGCTGGCCCCTGGATTCCACCTAGGGCCCTAAGGCGGGCCCTCAGATGCTCATCTGACGGTAATTTAATGTCTCAAACTCCTGAGCCTCCGGGGGCTCCACCGCCTCGACCCCACCAGGGGCCCTAAGGCGGCCCCTGAATGCTTATCTGACCGTAATTTATAGCCCCTGAGCTTCTGGGGTCGGACAAGTTATCAAAATGTGTCTATCTGACCGCAGGCGCGTAGCCAGGGGGGGGGGGGGGCTGTGGGGGCGGTCCCCGAAAATCGCCGTCAAAAATAAAAAAAGAGAGGAGAGAAAAGAAA